TCCCCCAAACTGGTTGCGTCAGCATGGTTATTGAAACTTAAGTGAATCTCCTCTATTGATAGGTTGGCAAATTTTCCCAAGTGGTCTAACATGATATAGGGTTTAAGTGTGTTATCTTATTCATGTGGTATGTTTGTCATCTCTCATATTTTCATTTTAAGTCATTAATGTTTTTTGATTTTTTTTATAGTTTTTTCAAGTTCAGAATCGTATGGTATTAATTTTGAAGTTCAATCCTATGCATATATAACTAGGAGAATCTCGTTAGTGGTCCTAAACTAATAGATATATCAAGTCACAACAAATAAACTAGTCATAACATGAAGCAAATAGTTATATGTGCTAAAATTATAAATTAAACAAAAACATGCAATTTCACAATAATTAAAATGCAGCAAAATAGATATACTAAATCAACACTAGAATCAGGAAGCACACAACAAAATATATTTTTAGATTTTCTAACACAATAAATAGCAAATAAGCTATACAAAAATTTTAGCACGTAATGTTGAAGTCTAAATTCCAAGGATTCAACTAAAATTTTCCCAAAATTAAAAATTTAATGCCGTTCCCTGACAACAACGTCAAAAATTTGATACGGACCGAGTGCTGCAAAGCATCAACGATACACACAAGTATACCTATCATTCAAATAGTATACAGAGAGGAACAAGTGAACTCCCAAATTCTGGAAAAATTCAAGTTTGTTGATTTTGAATCTCGCCCGAATGTTTGAAACTTGGTGATTTTTAAAGTATCTAAACCTAATTTTTGCAGGAGTTTCAACCTATAAACAAAGTTTTGGGATTTTAATCAAGCGAAAAAACCTCCATTGAATTGGACATAACATACTAGTTGTATCAATGTGACTCTAATGTTATTGGCAACTAGGAACAACAATATTCTTTAGCCCATTCCGGTGGTCTTAAGAAATATTGATATTTCTTATTAGAGTGAGTCTCTTGACCATGTAAAAACTTATGTGTTTTCATGTTTTCCTATTCGGATACACTATTCTAACAACAATATTCATATTCTCCTAAAAAAATGTACGTTACTTAAACATTCCACTAGCCTATTCTCATAATACTATATCACAATTTGTTTTAACACATTAAATGCACAGGTTGAAAGTAAATGAAGAGCAAAAAGTTACAATATCAATGTTAAACACAAAATCTCAATTACAATTCATGGATAGTATTAACATGGATAGATTTACAATTCAAGGAAGTGAGAAATCTAATTATTACTTGTTGGAAGGAAACACAATGAAAAACTCATTTCAAATCCAAAGAAAATATAAGTTAGAACAATCTCATCGAATTGATCCATTGAATTACATGAGTTGAAAAGAAATTCTGAGATTTTCCCACTCTAAGCACACAACAATCACAATCTCACTCTCTACACTTAACTTGATCTCACTCAAGAGAACACTCTCACATACTCACAACACTCCCTCGAATGAATCCTTTGAAGTACTTTGAATGCTCACGATAAGCCTTCGCTGAAGCCAACCTCTATCTTGTTCCCGTCACCTCCAAAGATCCCACTCTAAAGTGCTTGAGAGATCCCTTTGAAAAAAGGGTTTTATTATATCCTCAGAGATGCCACACGTACAGAAATCAGTCTTAAATCCAAATGTCGGTTGGTCGGTGTCGGAGTTCCTCTTGGGAGCTCCACAATCTCCAAAATGGTGTGGCCACGCCATTAGCGGCGTAACTATGCTAGAGCCCACCATAACACCTTAGCGCCACAACTTCGGCGCCTACACACCAATCTCTCGGTTATCAACATATGAAAGCGCATGAGAAGCGCATATGCACCACTAGGGTGGTGCCTTGACGCCACTCTCTCTAGTAGGAGGCACATATGCACCCATTTGGGTGACACCAAGGTGCATTGAGGCACCTCCATAGGCGCCACCCTCTCTGGTAGGAGCATATGCACCCATTTGGGTGACACCAAGATACCTTGAGGCACCTCCATCCATATGTTAGCTCCTATGCATGATTAATGTGTCATTAAGAACTCATGAATACATGTAACCTATAATTACAGACAAAAATACCTGAAAAAGCATAAATAGGGAACAAATAATAAAAGAAATTTTAGAAAAAATATTGACAAAATATATCACATTTTTACACCCTAGTAATCGACCACAATGTTAAAAATATGAAGGATGGAATCACGATTGATATTGAAGGCAATATATTAAGCCTTGTAATCTAGTTAATTTATGTAGTCTTTTCTCCAAGAGTATAAAACTGCAAAATGTCAAACTTTTATGACTCGTCAAGAAATTTGCACTTGAAAACTTAAAAAAAAAAAATCAATTTAGAAGCACATAAATTTGGTAAACATAAAAAATTTAAAACCACCACCTATTTGTAGGCATATAAAGAACTATAGAACTTAGTTTCTATAGAATTTTGGATTTATAAAGGATTGTTCATTTAATACAATGATCACACATAAGATCTATGAATGATAGATGAGATGTATGATTAGGATTGTCAAAAAGACTCGTCATTCACAAACAACTCGTTTTCGAATTGCTAAGTAGTTCCTATTCAATTTGTTTGTTAAGCAAAAGAGCAAATCATGAATAATTTTTTGAGCTCACTTTATAAATGTCGAACACGAACAAACTTTGGTTTGATCGTATCGTTTCTTTGACTTGAATTAATTAAATAATAAATAAATAATATTATTATAATACTTTTATATTAAAATTTTATGTTATATTTAAAAAAATATATTAAATTTTATTATGTTTAAATAATTCGAGCTGATTTTGAGTCAAACACGAGTTGGAATTAAAAAAAAATTTTAAAGAGCTAAACATAAACATGCTATTTACGAGCACAATCTTATTCAAGCCAAAAAAAAATTCTACTGACCGAGCATAAACAAACACTAGGCTAGCTCAAGCTCGGCTTGTTTACACCACTAAATTATGATCTAACATATACTATCTATTGGAAGCTATCTCTTGGAAAATCATTTTAGCTATAATTACATAAAACACATTTGATGCAACTTTAGCTAAATAAACATTTTTGGAATGGCCATACAATTGCTATATTATGCATACAATTACCTGAAAATTCAAACCATTGCTATTTTATTCCATACAATTAAGTCAATATAAAACAAATGAATTCATCGTACAGAAAAGCATGCTCGGCTCAAAATTATTGTTTTAATCTTGTCATAGAAGACCATGAATCCAAAATATAGCTTATTTATACATCCCATCCCCCCTCCTCTCCACTAAATTACTATGAGGTTAGAAACTAACATTGTTATATCTCTACGTTATCCACACTCCCAGCAATGAGTTTTTGAACCTTCTAGGTCATCAAGCCACTTTCTGAAGTAAATTAAGTGCAAGAGCCTACAATCAATATCATTTGTTCAAGATGTCGTGGAGGCATCAATATTTCATCCAGAGCTTTCAAAATGCCAAGTACAATGTGTTGTGCAAGCTTTCATTTTTTGTTTCAATATGCAATATACACAATATATCTCTTTTACTAACTCAAATGTTTATGGTTTGTATATGATATATACATGTTCTTTGCATATAATATTCATTTACTTAACCAAACTTAACCAACATTAAATCATAATTTTCAGCAAATATAATAATAATCAAACAGCATCAACTAATAATTTACAGCCTATATAATGATACATTCAATAATAGTAACTTTTAGATATCCAAAAGTATATAAAACAAAGAAAATATAAAGAATAAAGTAATGAAAGAATATTTACAAAATAAGAGCACTCCTGAGTTTAAAATACCGGGTGAAGAGAACAAACCAAGAAGCATTCTCAAAAATAAGCTCGTGAGAGAGAAGCTATTTGATAGGCAGCAAGAACCAATGGCAAGCGTTAAGAAAGCCAATGGGTTACATGATAAAGAAAAGCAACTAGCTTTAGTGGGAGAGAATGAAGGAATAATGCGAAACAATTCAATACTGATAAGAACAAACGAGAAGTAAATGCTTGTTCCATAATTATTGTGCCATATCAAAATCAATCCATAAATTTGAACTATGTTCATCGTGAGCAGATCCAAGCATTTAGTGCTATACCACGTTGCAACAAAAAAGAGGCTTGCAATTAACATGCAAGTAATGCGTGAAGCAAAGTGCACTGTGTCGTTTCACTCCTAAAGTGCACATATAATAATATTAGTTTCATCAACAACCAAAATACAAAAAAAAAAAAAAAAAAAAGATGTTAGTTCTTAATTTAGTCATGTTTTTCGTACTTGAGACTTTATGAGCCTTGGGAAACTTGGTATTTATTATTTTCTATTATTTGTATTAGGTAGCACTCGCTTATCAAGTGAGTATGAGGTGGCGTAGTTTCTCTACCGGCTTGAAGAGTGAAAGAGTTTGACTTAAAATAGAATATGAAGAGTAAAATCCTAATACTTGTTAAGAAAAAGGCATGGACATATGTTGATTAGAGCCAACTGCATACACTTTTTATGTATTTACTTTACAAACTATGTTATTTTTGTTTAAAAATATAATTATTGCATTGACAATATTTTTTATTGTAAAATGATTATAAAACATCGGTTGGCCCCTCCTCATCATGGTGTGTCATACACTTCTAGTCAAAAACATACATGTTCTTTTAACTAAAGCAGAGTTGGATTTTTTAACTCATACTAACAAAAAAAAAAAAATAACGCATTTTATATCAATACTCAACTAGTGGCCACACAGTTCATAAAATTTTGGACAGTTCAAAATTTCTATAAAATATCAATAAATTTGTAAAAAATAATTCAGAAGGCAATTTTACATACCAAATGAAAGTTGCGCTAAAAGCCACACAGTTCATAAAATTTTGGAAAGTTCAAAATTTCTATAAAATATCAATAAATTTGTAAAAAATAATTCAGAAGGCAATTTTACATACCAAATGAAAGTTGCGCTAAAAGTTCATTTTGAGAAACTCAAATTTCATACAACCAGTTTGTCCTCATCCAACCCCGGAACTGCCACATCCTCCCTCAGAAGCCCACACTCCCCTACACAAGCGCCAGCTTGCGCAAAAAGCTCAACTACAGCTGGGAGCTTCCCATAATACATCCTCAGGTTGTGCACAAGTAATTTGCCACCATTATAGGGGCCAGGAACATGCCATACATAAACTGGCGGCACCAAATCATCAATGGCTGCCTTCTGCCATGCATGTTGTCCATCTCTCATTTGATGCTTGTATGCCTGGCAAATTCTAGCACGGTGTCCCTTAGGTCCTACCTGAACCTCAGGGCAATACCCACAAGTTTGAACAGCGTATTTTTCCATGAGTTGTACGGCACCTAACCTCATTCTCTCCCATGCACTCATCCCTCGCACTGCAATACCTGCAGTGGTTGTCAATAGAATATCTGGTTGAATGGGGAAAACTTTACAGGAGAGATTTTGGTAGATTGAGAGCTTCTTAGTTAAAGCATAAAGAACAAATATGTTAGTTATCATAATAAATCAAACATAAAACTCTTCACAAATTCCATATATCATTAATTTCTCTATAATCTCAACAACATATAGGTACATAGCTTTTTGATGTTGTCCAAAACATTGTCTAGCAACATTTAAGAAAAATAAACCCAACCCCCCCCG